CGTCGCCGTCGGACCGATTGTGAGGGTCGCTTAAAGCCGAGCGCCGTTCGTCGGCATTCGGTTCCGTCTATCCGAGTGTGTGCCACTGCTCGCTCCGTTCCCATCTTCGCCTCTCTCCCCAGTGTCTACCTGTTGCTCGAGCAGCGAAGGCTACGCGGTCTCTACCTGGTTCTCTCGGCCTCTCCGGCTTGCCCGCGAGCGACCGTTTCCTCCTCGGTCTCGTCGATCGCTCTGAAATAGAGCGACCGAGAGAAAGAGAGAATCGTTTCGAAGTCGCGGACAGACAGAAGACGTCGCGACCCGTCGTCGCGCGCGCGCGGTTCGGCAGCGATCGGGTTCCCGCGGGATCTTTTCCGCGAAAACGTCGGCCGTCGGGCGGCCCAGTGATCGTGACGGATGTGATCATTGAGCCTCGTTGCTCCAATCAATCGGTCCCTCGTAGGACGAGGCGGCGTCAGTGTTCGTCGTGGGACCGCGCCGGCCAGGGCGGTGCATGTGCAACGCGTCGCGGACGTTGCGGCCGTGCGACGAGGCGCCGGTGAGTGACTTTTCTTTTGTCTCGCTCTTTGGTTTCTTCCACCCCGTCGGCTCCGTCGACGTCGGGGCGGTCCGAAGCGTCGCGAGTCGATCGCGGCACGCGTCGACGTCGCAGAAGTTCGCGTCGCGGTCGAAGGTCGAGCGAGAACCATTTCGGCGAGAACCGTCGACGGCGGCCCGTCAGCCGCGCCGTCGACGGATCGAACAGTCTCGAAAGCAGTGGATCGTGGATCGTGGATCGTGACCAACCGGCGAACGATCGTCGAAGGCGGCGGCGCGACGATCCGCAGCGACGGAAAACGGGACGTCGCGAGCGCGCGCGCGCTCGTCGCACCGACGCGACGGAATGATTCACTCGAATAGTTGCCGCGTAATCGGTCTTTAATGGGAAGACCGTGATTACCGCGCTTCCTACGATCGCGGCTGTCGATGCCCGTCTCGAATCGAACCGTTTCCGTTCGTAGAATAATCCATTTTTCGTCGCCCCGACGAAAGGGCCGATCAGTCTTTCTCGCCGTCGCGCGACGGTATTCTTGCGGTAATCAACGGGGTTTATTTAGCGACGATCTAATTAACGATTCGGGATCGGTCGCTCGTTTCGCGGAAACGCGTCGTTATCTCTCGCCGAGGTTGTCCGCGCGTTCGTTGTTCACCTTGTTCGACGGCCGCCAAATCGAGTCGCGTTATCGTCGACGGAACACGCGGATCTACGGCGGATCGCGGGACTCGATCGCGGATTATTCCCGCGGAACCGTCGCGGACGGAGCCGATCGCCGCGAATGAATCGCGGCGAGATAAGATCTGCTCGATCGGACGACGCGTTTTCGTTCGTGTCACATCTCTCGGAAGCAGCGGTCGAATTGGTACCGCGAACGGCAATCGCGAGCGCATAAATAAAAAGACGTCGATTAAAAGATATCTTGCCGCGGACGTCGCCGGGGTCCGCCGCCTTTGTTTACGTAAGGTAAATAATTGAATTGTGCGTCGTCGACGAAGTCTGCGAATGGTTGCGCAATTGTGAACGTTCCGTCGATGGAATCGATGGGCTGCGACAGTGAGATTAATCGACAATTATATATAATGTATAGTGTATATTATGCATTAATGTAATATATAGTGTATATTATAAATTAATATAATAGATAGTGCATATATTATACATTAATATAATATATAGTGTATATTATAAATTAATATAATATATAGTGCATATATTATATATTAATAAAATAGATAGTGCATATTATATATTAATAAAATATATAGTGTATATTATAAATTAATATAATATATAGTATATATATTATAAATTAATATAATAGATAGTGCATATTATATATTAATAAAATATATAGTGTATATTATAAAAATTAATATAATATATAGTGTATATTATATAAATTAATATAATAGCTAGTGCATATTATATATTAATAAAATATATAATGTATATTATATATTAATATAATAGATAGTGCATATTATATATTAATAAAATATATAGCGTATATTATATATTAATATAATATATTTGTATACTCGACGCTGAATTAGCAGAAAATTTGAAACAGTTCTTCCACGGTTTTTCCATTTTATACGACCTATAGTGCGTTCTCTGCGTGTGAAATTGAATATCGTGCAACAGTTACGCTTTCAATAGTTTTTCAAACATAAAGGAATTCGATCGATAGAATTATTTTGCGACGTGACGTAACGATTTTTAACGGCGCCTCGGGTGCAAAGGGTTAAACGTTGCGTCGATAAAATTGATAGGCTACTCGGTTGACGCGGTGAGATCAGTCTTCAATTATATATATAATATACATATATACATATAATATACATTAAACACGAATAAATAATATATTATACAATTTCACGTGATAAATTACCAATATTAAACACATGAAAAATTACGAGATTCATTTTCTAAGAAGATTGCGTGCTATAAAATGTCAGATTCTGTTGCTTCTACGAAACGCCGCAGTATTTGGCTCCGTCCGCAGTATTTGGCTCCGTCCGCAGTATTTGGCTCCGTCCGCGGTAATACCCGCGCTTGCCCTATTTCGAAGAAGCTAGAAATTTCGACGATCTGCTCCGATTCTCGGCTCGATGATCGCCCGTCGATCTCCGGACAGATCCTTCTGTTTGGGCCGCTCTTAATCCTTTCGTGGAACACATCGGAAAGACGGGTCGGGGCCTTATCGATCCACGGTGGCCGGGGATAAAGCGGGCCCGAGATTCTACCGGTCGGATGCCAGACATTTTTCACGGGACTGGTTGGAGACTCTAAACGTAACATCGTCACCTACGGCCGGCCGGATTATTCCGACGATCAAGATTAACCCTTTGCACTCGAGCGGCGACTCCGAGGCACCGCTAAAATTATTACATCACGTTCCAAGATAATATTTATATTATATATTTTTATATACTATTATTATTATATATATTATATATTATTATTATTATATATATATTATATATTATTATTATTATTATATATATATTATATATTATTATTATTATATATATATTATATATTATTATTAT